CTAAACGATCCCACCAGAACAGTTGCTTCCCACAAGCTAATAACACATTTATATAATTCTTTTAGTGTGAGAACTTGCCAGAATCTCTGAGAAAGATCAAATTTTTGATTTCCAGTGGCCCTCAACATGTATCCCTTGCAGATGTTGTGCTTCTTGATCAAAAGATTGCTTCAATTCAGGAACAACAGACAGGCTTCTGATCACCTCCTCTGCYTGGGACCTAAGGCACCTGCGCATGGGGAGCAATGAATGAAACTACACTCACCACATTTCAGAGCTCTACCTCAACAAGGGAACAACAAAATAAAAATCTCACAATTGTGGATCATTCTGAATATCCGTGAATCACCGAACCACACACTCACCTAGGCCCAAACACCATCTCCAGCACAACCACCACCGTTCGGAAAGGAATCACTAAGCACAGGCATGGGCAACCTTCAATCAAACTCAAGCAATTCAGGTAAACAGATTGAGGAAGACCTAGCCACTGTTCCCCACAAATCAGCTGCAAATTCAAAGCCGCAGAGCGAGCCACTACGAAGCCCTGTGCTCACCTCCCCGGGCCCACACTCCACGTGCCACGGCCTTTCAATTCCTCCTGGGGGCCCATCCTTCTCCCAGGGCCCTCRTTTGCCACCCTTTGTTTTCCCCTGCATGCTCCCACGCCGCTCAGCAGAGCGGGCTCCAGTGGAAAGAACAGGTACGAGCGCCGCTCAGGTTTCCCGGGCACTGTCTGAAATGGGATCCGCAGAGCGGGGCCTCGTGTCTCCTGCTCTCATGTTCTCGGCGCCGCCGCCGGGCGCCCCGCGAGCTGCCGACAGCTCCGCTCCCGCCGGCCGGGAGCTGCTCRTCCGGTTAGCTGCGCTCGTCTGCACGGAAACACTCATCCCGCGTGTTTGTGTGGCAGCTGCCACACAAGTAAGTGGCTGGAGCAGAATTCCTGCTTTCCCCTTTCTAGAAGGGCTGACAGCAGGTCAGCTCCGTTAGAAGGGTATTTTGGAAAGGCATACTACTGCAGAACCTAAGTAKATGGGACAGCTGTGCTAGTCTGGATTAAGAGCACACGAGGTCTTCGGAAAACTCCTGCACACGCCGCTGTGCAGCGGCACGAGGCTGAAAACCGACCGGCACGCGGGAAASCATAAGCAGCGATGGAGTGCTCAGGCAGACCAGCTATCCCTGCCTTGAGGTGGGAGGAAGAGCAAGCAATGCACAAGCAAGATATTCCCCATCTTGGGAAGAGGTTCAAGGGCAGCCTGGCACAACACGCAGACCAAAAGGCAGTTTATTCCCCAGGTGGCCAAGCAGCGGTGGCTGCTGCTGGCATAAAGGTGCAGGAAAGCACAAAAACTGACCAATTTGAGTTGCAGCTCTCATGTCAGWTGTACAAAAGAGTGGAAATGAAAACGAAAACCACTAAGGAAATGTAATAGAAAGTGCAGATTCAACATCCAATCAAGGAAAGGCCTAGGGCAGGGCAAGGAGAGGAGGAGGTGGAAGCAGGAGCTGCCCGGGTTGAGGCGGTGAAGAGCAGGCAAGCCAGTTCACAGCCGGGAGCTCAAAAGCTAACACTGCACCGGTAAAGACCGAGAGCTTCGTTTCTATGAAACCCTTCAGGTTTTAGATGAAGGGGAGTCTGCAAGAGAGGAAAGAAACCCAGGGAGGAAAAGAAAAACAATAAATAAAAAAAAATTACAGTGGAAAAAAACTCACAGTGCTGCCCCCCTGACTCTGAGGGGGACAGAGGGGAAAAACCCTTTTCACCTGGATGAGACCCTGGAATACCTCATTCCCCAACTTTGATGGGCAGATTTATACCTCCACTAGCTCTCTGAGACAGGGCAGGAAACAGATACGCATGCATACAAATGCAGGAACAGATAAGGGAAAGGAAAGAGAAAATTAGTATTTTGGGAGGAGATGGAAGAAGAAAAAAATCTAGAAAATAACAGGAAGTGGGAGAAAGACACTGGAGCTCACGTATACAAGCCTGTGCTGTGATACGCTGGCAAAAAAAGGAAGCACAGTCTGGAAAAGAGAGGCACAGACAGAACAAAAGTGAGGAATGCAGCAAGTCGGGAGCTTTAAGGTGAGCAAACAGCCAGCCACCGCGTTGCAYTGGCTACAGTTCTGCTCTATGCTCACGTAAAGGGGAGTCTTCTACTAGCTTTATAGTTTATACCCACTGCTACACAGAAGCTTCTCAAYGTGGCAAATAATCCAGGGATGGTGAGACCTAAACAAAGTCACATCAAGTTACGTGGATCAATTTTAGTAGCCCAGGCAGCCTAGGCATCCCAGCAGAGATTTTAAGATGCAAAACAAACAAGAGACCCAAACGGCTCGCAGCCCGATTACAGCAGAGAGTTTTAAAAATATTTTTGTTGGGTTTGCTGCCGTGTGTTCTTAGAAAACTGACTTTGTTTCTGAATGTTGTGTTGTGTAAGGGTTGGCATTTTGTCCTGGAAGTCACAGGAGCTTCCACGGAATCTTTAACCTTTAGGAGACCTAGTTCAAGCTCCGTAAACAAGCATATCCTACYAGAGGCAATGAATCATAAACAAATCTACTCCATCACGTGCTCTGATCCCTACGCTCTTTCACTAGATTTGTGAAGACTTGACAAAGAAAAATAAAAATGAGCCAAAAAAAAAAAAAACCACTTTAAAACTGTTAATGAAAAATCTCCTTTTCCTCCTAAAAACTACAGCACTGCACCTTAAAATGCAAGCGGATCATTTCTCAGCAAGTGTCCCGGGGAGGATGCACACGCTCCCGCGCTGCAATGCTCCGCACGGCTGCGTCCCTCTCCTCTCCAACAAGCTGCCCAGTTTAACAGGTTACCTAACGCACGAGGTAAGCACATGTTTGATACGTGTTTGATAACCCCTTCCCCTGTGCGACCCGTGTTGGCAATTTTCCAGACAGGGCCGCGGGATTCCCAAGCGCTGGAACGGTATTGTTGGTTCAAAYGGTTGGCCATTACAAGCCCCATCAGTGACGCTGTAAATTGGTTTATTTAGCACCTTCAGTGAAATAATATGCTAAGTCCTCCACACACAAACTCTGCAGACCACAATACTGCAAAATAAACAGACAGGAGTAGTCAAATTATTTGGTAAGAGATTAGTTTGTCCAGTGAAAATATTGAGCTGCGTTTGCAAGTATTTTTGTTCTGCTACTTGAAATGCAGCCAGCAAGAACGGGCAGGTATTACACACAGACTGTTCCTTTCTAAAAACAACAAGTTTTTGCTACGGATTGCAGAACCCACATAYCCATAAATATCTGAAAACAGGCTGTATTGCACCAATTAAGGGAATCAAGCAGCTGCCCCTACGCAAACAGCACCAAGAGGGAACTTGACCCTATCCTGGTACTGCCGTGTTCCCTATAGAGGCCTACCCCTCTATAGGGCCGAGAATGAAAAGGACACCGGGACTCCTAGCACAATGCAAACACACCTAACGTCAGAAAAGGCAGGAGCAAGAAGTGAAGAATCAACTTCAGATGCCCAAGAGATGCCTCTGTGCACATTTCACACCTCCTCCTGCCCCGCACCACCGTCTGTGGATGCTGCTCAGTGCGACACGAACGGCAGAAGAACATGTACAGTTCTTGCAAAAGAGGCCAGAAGGTGAAMGTCATTTCATCGCTCGTACCCCTGTTCACTTTAAGCACAGGCCTTTCCACACAAGCACCAAACCAGACATCCCAACAGCCCGGACTCTTGTTTGGACCACCTCTTAYTGACTCTTCTCACCGACCGCGCTCCTTTATGCGCCCCAGGGGCCAACGTGGCAAAGCTGCTGGCAGCCTTGGGCCTCCTGCTGCAGGACCCCTCGGCACCGGGGCTCCGCTGCGACGCTCCCAGCGCCGGCTCCCACCGGGAGCAGCTGAGGAAGGGACRGAAGGGCCCAATGCCCCATCCCGAGGCGCGCGGGCATTTCGGCGGGGTCTGAACCCAGCCGGGCTCCGTGCCCTTCGYCCGGGCACCCCACCAGAACCGTGCAAGCAGCTCTTCTCTGCCCACACGCTTTCCACGGTGGGAACTACAGCCACTGCTACGTCCAGGAAGCGCCAGTCTAGGAATCAAAGTTACAAAACTCAGGTCGTTTTCTAGAGTCGGAACACACGGAACAGCAGAGCCCACGAGCACCTTCAGGTGAGCTGCAGCACTCCTCTTTGCTCATGAAGTCCAGAGCCACAGGTATCGTTAGGGGGTGAGTTTGCTATACTAGAGACTTAAGAGGTCTAACTCTGTTTGAAAGAGAAATTGGCTTAGAAAAAAACAGGGATACGGGGGAAATGCAGACTATGTTCCAGCTAAGCCTCTCACACTGCGTCTGCCCAGGCGTAGGTACAGGGAGCACAGTTTAAACTAAAAGCCCCAAACCTCCCCCACTTTTCCTCACCACAGCAGGGTGAATGCACTGCGCTTGACCGGGCTGCAGGGCTGCTTTCCGGCTCCCCGCTCCTCCCCTCCTGCTCCGGCTTCCGACCGGCTGCGGCAACAGGAGCGGGGCCGGGGGGCTCGGAGCGGGGCCGGCTCGGAGCGGGGCCGGGGGGGGCTCGGAGCGGGGCCGGGGGGGGGGCTCGGAGCGGGGCCGGGGGGCTGCGGGCTCCCACCCCCGGCACTCACCACCCTCCTCGGGCTGTAACGGGGGCGGCAAAGCCCCCCCGCTCCCCCGCCGCCTTTTTAAAGTCTGAAAAGACACTGATGAATATTCATTGCCAGGGCTCTACTACAGGGGCCGGCTTTCTTTTAAGGGCCTGAAGGGGGTTGCAAATCAGGCGAAATACAATGGGAAATCTCGATGCAGAACTCGGACCTTTTCCTCCTCCTCCTCCCTCCTTCCCCCCCTCCCCCCCAAAAAAAGTATCTAAGGAGAAAAATAATTGTTTCTCCACTAAAAACAGAACCCCTAAATGATAAAAGCGATGAACAAACCAACTGAGCACGGCTCCCCGCGCAGCGCCGCGGCCCCGGCACTCACTTTCGTCCTGCCGTTGATCTTGTAGTTGCCCAGCTTGCCGTTGCAGTGGCGGATGAGATCGTCCATGCTGTTCATGAGGAGGCGGATGGTCTGGCAGCCGGGCTCCTTGCCCTCCACCCAGGTGATCTTGTCGCCGCGGATGTCCTTGGACGAGTCGCTCTTCTGGCTCACGAGCTGCCCGTCGGTGAAGCGGCCCGTGTGGTGCAGGGCGCGCACCTCCTGCGCCACGCGCCCGCCCAGCTCCTTGCCCAGGAAGTCGTCCACGACGCAGATGCCGTGCTTGTTCATGCAGGGCACGATGTACTCCAGCGCCAGCCGCTGCGGCACCAGCGACTTGGTCTGCCCGTTGGGGCGCAGCGCCGCGCCGCCCGCCGCCGCCGCCTGCACGCCGCCCGGGTACAGCTCCGACTTGTCCCGGTACAGCAGCGCCGCCTCCCCGCCCGGACCCGGACCCGGACCCGCCGCCGCCGCGGGCCCCGGCGCCGCCGCCTCGCCCGCCGCCACGTGGTTGTTGCTCAGCGCCGCCGCGGGCGGCTCCGCGGCCGCCGCCTCCCCGGCCCCGGCTCCGGCTCCGGCCCCGGCTCCGGCGCCGCGGGGCGGCGGGGGCTGCGCGGCGCGGGGCTCCGCAGCGCCCCCTGCCGCGCCCGCCGCGCCGCCGCCGCGGCAGATGAGCTTGTGCTTCTTCCAGTCCTGCCGCTGGTGCTCCTTGCTGCAGTAGAAGGAGCTGCGGCAGCGCCCGCAGCGCAGCAGGTTCTCCATCTTGCCGCACAGCTCGCAGTACTGTCGGTCCCGCTCGCTGCTGCTGCTGCTGCTGCTGCTGCTGCTCCCGCTGCTGCCGCCGCCGCCGCCGCCGCCCTGGCCGGCGCTGCCGCCGCTGTCATTCGCCATGGCGCTCTGGTGCCGCGGGTTATGTAAGGAGGCGGGCGGGAGCGCCGCTGAGGCGGCCCCTGCCCGGGCGCGCGGGGAGGGCAGCGCTCACTGCATCATGGCCGCCCTCCGCGCGTCCGCCCGCCCGCC